TCCATGGTGTTTTGCTATTTGTACGAATTGTTTTGAGAAATGCACTTACTGTTTTGCAAATGTCGAGGATGATTCGAGAAATGTACCAAAGCGACTGAGAAAAACTGTAATACAGGAAAATAATTTTGGTGTCAGCTGTGAACTGGTGTATATTTGCATCCTTATACTATCCATAGTTGGGTATTTGTTCTTGGTTTATTTAGTTTATTGACAGCTGGCGTCAAATTTATTTCTGTTGTTAACATACCTGGGCATTAAGTTGATTCTGGTTTTTGAAAATCTTAGTTTAGTCTTCCCAAAACAGTCCTTTGATGCCACCTAATGAAGTCAGCCATAACAAGCCAAAACAAGCTCTATATTTCACTCTGTGGGTATGAAGCAGACAAGCTTTTTAATGTTACATGTGCCCCCAAACAGCTGTAACAGCAAAATATGTCTGTAACAAATACATTGCCACCATTTCACTATCGGCCTTAAGATAAGATGACGTAAGATGATGATCCAGGATGTTTCCCAATCAGAATCCACTGGTTTCATCTGTAAGTCTCTGAAGACCCGCACAGCTGCACACAACCATAGGGCTTGCAAGCCTTTTGAGGCTCTACATGGCCTCTCGGCTGCTCTCCAACCTATTAGTTCCGTACATGCAGGCTTGTACTTTAAGATCCTTGGGCAAAGGTCTTTGTCTGTCCCAGAGGCCTGGCTGAAAATGAAAGGGGACATACGGTTTGCTGCCCCCGTGGCTCTGAAACAATCTGAAAGTGCTCTATGAATAAAGATTCTATTATTATTATAAAGTTACATTGTTTCACTGTTTTCTAAAACATTTTTGTCCGTTTTAGCTCCTCGCCATCTGTGACAGCGGCAACTCTTGACTGACAGATTTTCTCACTGGTGCATTTGTCCAGCAAAGATGTTGAGATACATGGGAGACTGGTGGTTAATTGTTTCTACATTTCCTCCTTAGCTGTGTGACTCAGCCTTCAGACTGTAGTCAAATTGGACTGTCC